ATTAAATTATTTTTTCAGAAACTTAAATTTTATACAAATATATTATTGAATAGGCCAATCACTTATTTATTATAAATTATTTATTTTATTATTATTTATTTTAATTACAATTTTTATGTCTGCACATATGTACGGGCCAATCACCTAGTTATTTTTAAATAAAAAACTGATGTCTCTATTAGTGAATAACTAAATATCTAATATATAATGTACTATTTAATAAATTTTGTTTAAAACAAATTTTTGACTTTTGGTAAAAATAAAAATTTTGACTAGATCAAATTTACAATATATTAATTTGAGTTCAAAGCATTTCCGACAACTTAATCCATGTAATTTATTTTATATCAATCCTTCACAATTTTGGTGGAACTCAAATATTTCATGCATTTAGTCAAAGTCAAAATTGATGATACAAAGGCAACAAAAAAATGTACTTTTCTAGTGGTTAATGTGGTTAATAGACTAAGTGTTATTCAAACTTTTATTAAAAGTGTCATTTTATAGTTTTGTTTTTGTTTCATAAAAATTATGTTTTTGATTTTCAATACAAATATATAACTAAATATCCAGTTTTAACTTTGTCACATTAGTGTATCAATTAGAAAGAAAGAGTTGGTTTAATGTATTTATAAGAGATAAAATAAACTTTTTATTAAATTTCTTAATTTGTGTGAAAAGTGTTAAAGTGACTCTTATTTTAAAACAGAGAGAGTATAAGTTATATTCAAGACTAACTAATTACAATTACAAAACTTTCCAACAATGAATTGTGCAATGAAATCTTGCATTTAACTTATATATTGAATGGTCATAATGATAATATAAACAAATAATTATTTAAATGTCATTGATTTTTGCCAAAAATAAATAAATATTTACTCGCAGGTATGGAAAATCAATTAAAAATATTTTTTTTTTATCAAAACCAAAAGTTATATAATTAGAGAATCTCTCTTTCATATCAGAACAAGGTTTTAGGTCTTCAATAGGTTTAATACAAAAAAAAAATACTATGTATATTACAAAAAACCTATTGATTTTATTTCTCATAGTAATACTTGTACCTTCATTTTCCAACCACAACCTTTCGGCTTTAGGTATATTTTAATTCGTATTTAGTTGTTTCAAAATTAAAACTGATGATTTTAATAAAAATAACTAAACATGTTTCATTTCTGAATTTGTAGTTGACATATTTTAGTGTTTTTTATGTAAAAGCAATAGGTATGTTTTTTGTGTTTAATTATATATAGAACATGTATTTTTTGTTAATATTATGATATTATTATGTAATTTTTTTCAATAAAATGTTATATAAAATTAGACACATATATTATCAATTATTATAATTGTATGTAATTTTGTGTATGTTCAGGGAAGGAGAAAATATCATTTGACAACTGCACGAACTACTTGTGTACGGTGCGATATGATTGGCATGCGTGTTTTAATCACTGCACAGACGCTGGCTTCGAAGGCGCAGCATGTGCTTCTCCTTCTCCGGGAGATCCTCAAAGATGCTGTTGCCAAACACATTTTTGTTGCGGTTTAAACACTGTGATAAAGCATGAATAGCTGAAAAAAAAAATTATTCATAATAATTCATATTTTTCCTAAACAATTATTTTAAAATAAATAACCGGTGTCTCTATTAGTGAATAACTCAATATCTAATATATAATGTACTATTTAATAAATTTTGTTTAAAACAAATTTTTGACTTTTGGTAAAAACAAAAAAAAACTTAATTTACAATATATTAATTTGAGTTCAAAGCATTTCAGACAACTTAATCCATGTAATTTATTTTATATCAGTTCTTTACAGTTTTGGTGGAACTCAAATATTTCATGCATCATTTGAGGTTTTTTCATAGCATCTATCATAAATCAGATTTATGATAATATCGAAATTATGTTTTTAACAAAAAAATAACATATTTTGATATGGACTATGATTTGCTATCAACGAGTCAAAAATCTTGCGTGAGGTTACGAGTTCGAATGCCGTAAAATGCAATTTTATAAATCTTTTAACAAAAAAAAACATCAACCATTAAAATTCATATATTCATAAAAAAAGGTTATTCAATGGCATTATGACTGATTGACTGTGACACCGCATTTAGCAGGAAGCGAGAAAAAAAAAAAGAACCGAATTGCTCAACTCGGAGTCTCGGAGCGACGGCCCTGAGCCGTTCAATCGTCGTCGCCCGTCGCGGCGCAAAACGCAGCCGCCCTGAGCCGTTCGATCCTGAAATTCCCAAAGACGGAAGAACGCGGAGGAGATGGATTGAGAAGACGGGAGAAGAGGGTTTTGATAAATGATGGGATTCTGTCCTCTTCGTGGCTGTAACAATTGCTTAAAAAGGTTAACTTTTACTGCAAAATTTGGTAGATTCTGGTGATGGGTTCTGTTTGGTTTCACCGTCCCAAGTTGTTACTTTCACTGTAATCAAAAGAAACGAATGCATACCACTCAAATCTTTTTAGTTTTATTTTAATAATACTCACTAGATGAATAAATGTGATCATTTAACAAAAATTTTAAAATTTGATCATATTTTTACTATTTTATACTCACTCCGTTTATAAAATATTTTAGAGATTGACACACCAATTAAAAAAAACTTGTAAAATATCTATTGTAATCTTTTTATTATATTTATTTGTTTGTTTATTAATTAATTTAAGAATAAAAAAATTATTTATCAGTAAATTTGCATTAATATCATATATTTATTTTAAAAATATATTAAAATATCTTATATTAAAAAACAAAAAGAGTATTAAAAAAAATATATATATATATATATATAATTTATGGTAGTTTCTTTAGTCATATATATATAATTTATGGTAGTTTCTTTAGTCAAACTTTAGTCAAATAAAATAAATTTGGTTGTAGTTTTGCATTTAGTCAGAGCAAAAATTTATAATACAAATGCAAAAAGAAAATCTCACTTTTCTATTGGTTGATTATGTGGCAACTAAATTTATGTTTTGGAAGTTTTATACCATACTACTATCTAATTATAATTACAAAACTTTCCAACAATAAATTGTGGAATGAACTCTTGCATTTGACTTACATATTGATTGCTCATAATGATAATATATCCAGTAAATCTCTTTGATTAAATTCACAATTCAGACACTTTTTATAATAATACAGTCCAAAATTCAATCAATTAGCAATTATATTTTTGCCAACAACAAAGAAATGTTTACTTGCATCTATGGAAAATAAATTAATAATAAATATTTTATCAAGACTAAAAGTTATAAATAGAGTCTCTCTTTAAGATCAAAGCAATATTTTAGTTTTTCAATAGATTTTATAGAAAAGAAAAAAACGACAAATACTATGGATGCTACAAAAAACCTGTTGATTTTATTTCTCATACTTGTACCTTTATTGTCTAATAACAGCCTTTCGGCATTAGGTACATTTCAACTTTTATCTAATTGTCATTTTAATAACAATACCTAAACATTTAGAAATTTGTAATTGCCATGTTCTAGGATGTGTTAGTTGAAGCTGAATTTATAAAGAGTTTGTTAATTTTAAAAGTTAAAAAATTATTAAATTTGTAGAGAGTTGTGTTAGATTTATATAAAATTTTGTGTATTTTAGGAGGGTTATTGGTTTCTTATTTTAATGGATCTGAGAATCTAAACCAAATACAATATTATTAGTTTTTGTATTTTAAAATCTATATTGAAATACAATGTTATTGATTTTATAGTTTTAAAATCTACATATTATAAGGATGTAAGTTTTAATTGAATTTGAATGGATTTCTGAAAAGATTTTCATGATTAAATACAAAAAACCCAAAATACAAGATTTAACTTTAATATTTGAGTGGATTTGATTTTTTTAGCTGATTTAAAATCAAAAGATTTATCAAATACAAAAAAATATCTAAATTTATTAAAATACAAAAACTAACAACCCCTACTTCAAAAATCATCTAAAATACTTCATTACAATGATTTTAAGAATATGACAGATAACTAAAACATTTTAAAAGTATTGATTTATGAGTTAAATTGTTAATAATCTATGTTCCAATAATACCAGATTTTGATAGAAAAAAAATTATTAAAAACTTAACTCTTTGAATAACTGTAAATCTTGTATGTAATCTAAAAAATCATCTACCAATTAAAATGAATTTTAGAAATGTTAATAATTTTATATATTCATTTAATCTCCCTTAGTATTTTTTTTATTCGTAAAAGCAATGTGTATATATGCCTTTGTGTTCATATACATAAGATTTTAACAAAAAAAAAGTTCATATACGTAACATGTATTTAATTTTTTTATTAGTATTAGATTTTTACTATGTAATTTGTTTTCAGTGAAATGTTATATGAATTTGTATCAATTGTTACGATTAATATTTATGTGAATTTGTGTAAATGCAGAAATGGAAAAAATATCATTTGACAGCTGCCATCATGTGTGTACGTTTCAATACGATCTGCATGCATGTTGGCATGACTGCACATTACGTGGCTTCAGGGACGCAGAATGTGCTTCTCGTTCTCCTAATGATCCTAAGATATGTTGTTGCCAGAAGTAATACAAACTCTAACCCACTATCCTTAATTATTAGCGATTTAAATAATGTAATAAGGGCATGTAATAAAACAAATTATTTATAAATGCTACATATTTTGTTTTCTAGACAAGCTGTTACTAGTATTTGGTGATGACCGGCGTATACACGCAGGTTTATGTTTTATAATATATTTTTAGATATATAATTAATATAATATTTTTATTTTAAATATAATAATGAACTTTTTTATAATTCTTAACTGTGGTAATATATAAATATTATTTAAATTAATCTATATTTTATTACATTTATACTTTTAAATTTTATTTTTTATTTTTATTTCTAAATTTATCATACTAAATATTTTTTTGAATTTTTTTTCATAAACTTATAAAAAAAATAAGAAAGTTTTTTTCATAATATATAAATATATTTTCTTTAAACTGTATTAAATTTTTATGATCTTTCTATATAACCATGTGTATATCTTTAAACAAGTATGGCTATCTATAAGGTTGATATAGTGTAGAGATGTTACTCTGAATCAATCTGTTTATACATTTATATCAAACAGATGAAAAAGACTGACTCAGTACCCCAACACTTGAACCTATCCATGTTTCTACCTTGTCTGTTACGCAGCATGCACACGACTCTGCTAAAATCTTTCTTCTAGTACAAGCAAATGCACTGCGCTCGAAGCCCGTCCCTTCCTCCTCTCCCTTACTCTTGATAGTAGCTTTCTATCGCTTTCGACAATGTGTTGTGTATAACGAAACGCTGCACCAAAAGCCATTAAGAACCACAGAGGAAACTGGCAGAAAATTAGCAACAAAATGGCTGCAGCAGCTAAAAACAGGCTTTACTTACCACGTTTGCTTTGTCTATTCCCATCCCAAATGCGATGGTTGCACAAACAATCCGGACCTCTCCTGTTTACCATTTCCTCTGAACATCAACACTCTGATCGCGGGCACACCGGCGTGGTAATAAACAGTCTTCACCTTGCATTTCGCGTTCCGAAACTTCGCAACATCAACGCATTCGATTTTGGAGAGACAATAAACGATCCCAGACTGATCCTTGAACCGGTCTCTCAGAAGCTCTTGGAGGCGTTTCAATGGCTCCTTGGTCTTGTTGATCACCCCGTACTTCAAATTTGTTCTGTCAAAGCTCATCTTGAGAACCGTAGCACTGGGGATTCTCAGATTTTTTAGTACGTCTTGTCAGGATAAAAAAAAAACAGAATCCAAAATGGGATCCAGTGGTCTTTAGGTCATGATGAACCAAACATATGTTAACAAAAAAGTAGGAATGTTTTCTGAATTACAAATTAAGGGTTTACGGTTTTATTCACATGACCTTGATCATGAAAACTATCTGGCTTCTTTTTTTTTTGCACCATAAATTAAGCAAAAGTGTTTAAGCCTCTACTGTTTCAAAATCTCTTCCAAAATCAAGAGATCTTTGATTAGGAATCAATGGAGTGTGCAAGGAAACTGACCTCAACTATTTCATGTATCGTCCTCATGTCGCGAGGAAGCACTTCATGGAACTTGAGCCTCACAAATTCTTCTTTCCTCCACATATCATGAATCTTCTCCATCACTATCCGCGTAAGCCCAGCTTTGGTATACTGTTTTTCCTCAGCCACCAGTGATGGAGCTCTAGCTCTCCTCTTCTCCACTTCAACGCCCTCTTCCATCTCCATCTAGACTCTAAACTCTATTATTCATGTACTCATAACCAAGTTTAGCTCTCTGATTCATGGACTCATGCTTTACATTTATTTTTTTACTATTTGCCTATAACGTGAGTTCTTTTAGAATTTTTAAACACTTCAAGCGAATTAAACCTTTCAACTCTTCAACACAAACAAATTCTAGTGAACAATTTTTTTTCTAATCAGATCTTCCAGAATTAGTAGATATTTCTTTCCTTTACATGACTTTTTTTCTTATAGTATCGTTTTCTCTGCTAATCAGCTAGTTCAAACTCGCTCATGAAGCACATACCAGAAAAAAACAAATCAATCAATTCAACTCAAAGAAAATGATTAATTATCGTGAAGCAATCAAGTTAACAATGGCGGTAACAGCAATATAAAACCCCAATTCCAAAAATCGGGTCAATCAAAAGGAAACCAATTCAGCATATATACAAACAACCAAATCGAAGCTGGATTCCAAAAGTTACCTGATTAATAAGAAAGCAGCGTGATAGTCATGTGTAACCCAATCGGAATTCAATCCATTGTGATTCTTACTCAAGTGAAACACCAATTTTTTTTCTCACCTGGTATCTTTAGCTTTCCTACAAAACCCGAAATTCGTTTTTCTTCTCTATCGACCACCTTTGTTATATTTATTCTCCGCCAAACAAATTGCATACCAGATCTCTTGATTAGTTCCTCCTTGATTTGGCTGGGAAAGAACAAAAAACCACACGCAAAAAAAATGATTTAAGGTTTTAAAAGAAAATTGATACTATTGTTGTAGAATGATTTTTCATGGCTAACTGGTTGTTTCTAGTTTTTATTTCTTTTCTTTTTTTCTAATGAGGATTATAAGCAACTCTTCGGATTCAACAAGAAGGTGAAATGACTTTTAATCTTCTTCTTGTTCTTGGAACTGTGACATTTTTTTAAGTAAGGAAACTGTGACATATTATTAAATCAAAGTTTTTGTTTTATTTATTTAATTAAATTTTGAAAATTTTAAAATAATTGAATTTTCATACTGATGTGTCAGAGAGGGAAATGCTAAGATCGTCTCCTTGTGAGACACAAATGAGTCTTTATATAATAGATATAAAAAAAAATTGTTTTCACCAATATAACCAACTTTTTTCAGTTTTCTGCCACATCATCATTTAAAAATAAACATATATACACCTGTTATTTAGAAAACAAAAACTCAAATATTGCAGCTAGAATCGTCATTACCTCCATGATTCTTGTCAACAATTAAACCTCATCAGCAACAATAATTAAGTGGAATTAAGCACATCGTCAGGAAACGAAGGTTAGACAGAGAATCGAATTGCTCATCTCGGACCGACGACTCTGAAGCGTTCGATCACCGTCACAGTGCAAAACTCAGAGATGCGGATACTTGCCCGAATGCCTTTAACAAAAAAACATCCTAAGTTTTTACCAAAAAAAAAAAAAGATTTTCTTAAGTTTATTTTTATTAATTATTATTTAAATAATAAATATTATAAAAGTAAATTAAGTAAAAATAAACAATAACTGTACCTAGGAATTTGAAAACATCTAACATCTAAGGTGGCGATGATTTTTTTTATTGGTTATTGATTCATCAAAGACTCTAAAAATTGTTTTGGTTATTTTTAGAAAGGTTTTTTTAGTCACTCTTCGGCTTTAACTGATGACACATAAAAATAATAGAAATAAAAAGGAAAAGAATGAAAAGAATAAAAAAAGAATCAATAAGAATAAAATACATATAAAAAAATAAAAAATATTTTTTATTTCTCTCCACATTTGATAAGGAATACTTTTATTTTATAATTCTTTAAATAATATAGAATGAGAGGGAATAACATGGAACAAGTATTATTAGTGAATAGTAAAAAAATTAAAAAATGAAAATAAATTTGTTATTTCTCCTCATTCTCTTAATCACCGTCATATAATTGATATTATATGATAAAAGTAGTAAATCGAAAAAAGTCAAATTGATTGTTTCTGTTATAATAATAAATATTTGTACTCACTCTTCATATGAGAATTGCTTTATATTCTTCTAAAACATATACTAATTTTATATAGCTTTGTACTAAAGATAGAGGTATATGTGTAATTATCTATACAAAACTTTTAGTCAAACTTTATATTATAATGGTTTCCTTAAAAAAATAGAAATAATTCTGATTGTGGGTTTCCATTTAGTCAAAGAAAAATTTATGATACAATGGGAAAAAGAGATTCTCACCTTTGTAGTCGTTGATGATCTGACAAAAACAAATTTATGATTTATAAGTTTTAGACCATAGGTTATTAATTAGAAAACTTTCGAACAATAAGTTGTGCAATGAAATCTTGCATTTAGCTTATATGTTGATTTCGTAATAATAATATATCCAGTAAATCCCTTTAGTTAAATTCACAAGTCATAGACTTTTTATAATAACTAGAGATGTTTCCGCGCTACGCGCGGATTGTTTTTATATAGATATTTGATTATTATTTAAGTTAATTTATTTTCACTTTAAGTTAATATTTTAAATATAATATTTAATTTTTAAAATTGTTTTGATATGATTATACATCAAAAATATTTTAACGTATTCAAAAAATGTATCATGATATAATTTTAAGAATTACCTACTTGATATATGCTAAAATTAACTGTTAAACTCAATGTTATTCACTACTAACTTTCAAAATATTATTAAAATTATTTTTGTTTTGACTAAATTTGTTTATTATTGTTCCAATTAATTTAGATTATTATTTTTATTTCAACTGTGTTCGTGTAGTGTTTTTATTTAATTAGCAATCTCAAATACAAACAACACTCAATATTCTAATCTCTTATAAATCTATAAAATAACTATGATTCATATAAATAAAAATAATATTTACATAGTATAAAAAATCACAATCATATTGATAAAATGCAATTTTGATTTGGTCTATGAAGTACACGTACACTATAAAAAATATAGATGAATAAGGCAAGTAATACATATACAAATACAATTTCATACTAACTCATTATGTTAAATAAAGTATGTTGAGTTTCTCAAAACTCAAAAGATGTAAAAATTTTTGCTTGTAGTTTAACTTAAACATTTTTTCTTAAACTACACATATATATTTTGATGAGCCTTTATAATTAAACTAATAGTATATATTATATTATTTTTAAAAAAGTTTCTTAACCCAGTAAAAAAAACCATATTAGTTTTTCATTCAAGTTGGGTTTATAAGGAATTTTGTTGATGTGGATAATTAGAGATTTTTTTAGACATTTTCTTCTACATAAAAATGTGTATGTTATTTTTTCAAAAATGCATTATTATTTAATTTAAAAATTTACTAACTTGATATATATAAAAATTAACTGTCATCTAAAACTTAATTTTTGTTTATAAATTGTTTAACTCATGTGTTGACATGTATCGCTTGTAGTAACTTGACTACCTTAAGCCAACTAAGACACACATTGAATAAATATCAGTGCATGAAATTCTTCTTATGTCTATCATTTTCTGCAATGTAAATAGTAACGATGATCAAAATCTTCATATAGATAGATGCTTTGAAAAGCTTCCTATAATTTCTGTTGTCTTGTTGGTTGCCTTAAATCTAACGTACTATGATGTTTAATCTGTATGTTTCTAAAAGGTGAATATTTTAGATTTTTATAATTTGTAAATATTTTAAATTTTATTTTAGAAATTATTATTTTGTAATCTTGTTTCTATTAACTATTATTTTTTTTTTAGAGCAATTTGTTGTCTAATATATTCACTATATTACAAAAAGGAATATATATTAATGCTACAGATTTAAATGATATTTATTTTACCGATTTAGAAAATGATATTTAGTTTTATTTACCTATTCCTAATAACTATATTAACTTAGTGGTTCTATTTATTTATTTTATGTGTATTTCAAAAGATATAAAGTGAAATTTTTTATTATTGTTATATTACAAACAAAAGAAGTATATATTGATGCTATAAATTTAAATGATGTTTATTTTACTGATTTAATATTTTAATTTTATTTACTTTTGTTGGTAACTATATTAATTTTAGTGACAAAAATGAGTATATATTAATGCTACAGATTTAAATAATATTTATTTTACTGATTAAAATGATATATAGTTTTATTTAGTTTTCGCTAATAACTATATTAGTTTAATGGTTCTATTTATTTATTTTATGTGTATTTTAAAAAATCTAAAGTGAGAATTTTCATTATTGTTAATTTGTTATATTACAAACAAAAGAGTATATATTGATGCTATAGATTTAAATAATATTTATTTTACTGATTTAAAAAATAATATTTTATTTTTATTTACTCTTGTATTTAACTATATTAATTTTGGTTCTATTTATTTACTTTATGTGTATTTCAAAAAAATTTAAAGTGGGAATTTGTATTATTATTTTTTGCTGATGTGTCATATTTTTAGAGTAGTTTGAAAAGCTGAGGTGGATAGCTTAAGGAGCCCCAAATAGTTCCTTTTATTTAGTATAGATACAAACAAAAACTCAATTGATTAACAATAATATTTTTTGTCAAAAATAAAGAAATGTTCACTTGCATTTATGGAAAATCAAGTAAGACCCTAAACAGAATTTTAGTTTTTTCATTAGTTTAATACAAAAAACAATAAATACTATGAATGCTACGAAAATAAATCTGGTAGTTTTTTAGTCAAACTTCAAATTATAACTGTTTTCTTTCAGTAAAAGAAACAAATCTGACTGTAGTTATTTAGTCAACGTCAAATTTATGATGCAAATGCAACAAACAAAAACTGCAATTTTCTCGTGGTTAATGTGGAAAAAAGCCAAAAACAAAATTATGATTTATAAGTTATATACAAGACTAACTAATTACACTTACAAAACTTTCCAACTATGAATTGTGCAATAAAATCTTGCATTTAACTTATATATTGATTGGTCATAATGATAATATAAACAAAAAATTATTTAAATATCAATGATTTTTTGCCAAAAATAAATATATATTTACTCGCAGTTATCAAAAATCAATTAAAAATATTTTTTTTATCAAGACCAAAAGTTATATAAATAGAGAATTCCAGTTTCATATCAGAACAAGGTTGTATGTTTTCAATAGGTTTAATACAAAAAACAATAAATACTATGGATACTACAAAAAACTTATTGATCTTATTTCTCATAGTAATACTTGTACCTTCATTTTCTAACCACAACCTTTCGGCTTTAGGTATGTTTTAATTCGTATTTGATTGGTTCAAAATTAAAATTGATGATTTTTATAACAATAACTAAACATGTAGAATTTTGAATTTGTAGATGACATATTTTAGTGTTTTTTATATAAAAGCAATAAGTATGTTTTTGTATTTGATTATACATATAACATGTATTTTTTTGTTAGTATTATGATTTTATTATGTAATTGTTTTCAATGAAATGTTATATAAAATTAGACACATATATTTATATCGATTATTACAATTAATATTTATGTGAATTTGTGTATGTTTAGGAAAGGAAAAAATATCATTTGATAACTGCAAGGACTTGTGTACCATGCTATATGATTGGCGTCCATGTTTTGTTGACTGCATATCAGCTGGCTTCGATGACGCAAAATGTGTTTCTCCTTCTCCGGGGGATCCTCCGAGATGTTGTTGCCAAAGAAATCATGTTGTCAAAAGCAATACAAACTCAACATTGTCTCCTTAATGATTAGTGATTCAAACACTGTAATAAATGCATGAATATATATTAAAAACTATTTATAATAATTTATATTTTTAGGCAATTTTCATAATTACACTAAAAAGAAGTTTTTAGGACAAATATAACAGAGAGATTAAAAATTTTCAATCCCTAACATTTTTTATTTGAGTTTTCCAATTTTACCTTTTAGGAAAATTTTCCTAAATTTTTTTTCTGTTAATGTTTCGAAATTTTTTTAGGAAGGTCTTCCAAATACTAAAAGTTAACATCGGTTCATATGGTTTATGAAAGTTTTCTTAATTTTTTAAAAAAATTCTGAAATGTGGAAGGTCTTCCTGAATTGTGAAAGGATTTCCTGAATTTGAGTTTTATAAATTAACAAAAATAATAATATGATTTACGAAGGCATTCCTAAATACATGTAATAATTTTCTTAATTTATACATTTTAGGAAAGTCTTTCTAAAACTTTAGAATATATCTTTCTAAATTTACTCTCATCTCCTTCCTCACCTCCGCGACATCCAAACCCTAATTTCCGCCGATTTTTTTTTTTCACCATTGTTGTTGTTTTAGCTCGATTTTCTTGAGTTTTTCACTCAGTTATATCATATCTATCTATCACTATATGATTTTGAGCTTTAAATCCCGAAAATCACTTTCCCATAAAAAAATCCAAAAAATCTAAGAGTTTCACAATCACAAATCACAATCAAATGAGAAAGGTGATCCTAAATAAAACAAATGATTCAATTTCAGATCAGTCTTTTCCATTGATACATTTGTTTGTATATTATTTTTCTTCACTTTTTATTAATTAATATTTTATCTAATTAAGATTAATATGGTACAAAATGTTATGGAATGGATTTTTCAGAGTGTTAGTGTATATATATGGAACAAAAACTTAGATTAGGTGCATTTGAGGGAATTTCTCATATATTTTTCCTATACAATTATTTTTTTTGAAAAAACTGGTATCTCTCTTAGTGAATAATTTGGTATATAATATATAATGTACCCTTTAATAAATGTTGTTTAAAACTTTTTTTTACTTTTGGTATAAACAAAACTTTTGACTTGATCCAATTTACAATATATAAATTTGAGTTTAAAGTATTTATGACAACTTAATCTATGTAATTTATTTTATATCAATTTTTCACAGTTTTGGTGGGACTCAAATATTTTATGCAACATTGAGGTTTTTTCATAGCATCTATCATAAATCAAATTTATGATAATATCAAAATTATGTTTTTAACAAAAAAATCTATTTGATATGAAAAAACATAATTTGATATGAAATATGATTTGCTATCAACGAGTCTAAAATCTCGCGCGAGGTTACAAGTTCGAATGCCGTAAAATGCAATTTATAAATCATTTAATAAAAAAAATAAACATCGACCATTTTGTTTTGTTTTGAACAACTAAACTGATTAGGATTAAAATTTAGTGTTATAATCTAGTGTATTTATGTTATAATTATATAATTTTTTTAATTATAACTCAATCAATAAAAATATTTTGTTTATTTTAGGAAATTTGTCTTGTCACATTTCCATGTCATCATTAATTTGACACATCAGAATTTTTCATTAAACACGCTTCTCAAATAATAGTTAAGATTATATGATAAGTGTAGTAAATAAAAAAAGTCAAATTGATTGTTTCTGTTATAATAAATATTTGTATTCACTCTTCAAATGAGAATTGCTTTTTATTCTTCTAAAACATATACTAATTTTATATAGCTTTATATTAAAGATAGAGGTATATGTGTAATTATCTATACAAAGTTTTTAGTCAAACTTTATATTAAAATTGTTTCCTTAAAAAATAAAAATAAAAAATAATTATGATTGTGGCTTTCCATTTAGTCAAAGAAAAATATATGATACAATGGCAAAAAGAAATTCTCACCTTTCTAGTCGTTGATGATCTGACAAAAACAAATTTATGATTTATAAGTTTTAGACCATAGGTAATTAATTAGAAAAATTTCGAACAATAAGTTGTGCAATGAAATCTTGCATTTAGCTTAAATGTTGATTTCGTAATAATAATATATCCAGTAAATCTCTTAGTTAAATTCACAAGTCATAGACTTTCTATAATAATACAAACAAAAACTCAATTGATTAACAATAATATTTTTTGTCAAAAATAAAGAAATGTTTACTTGCATTTATGGAAAATCAAGTAAGACCAAAAATTGATATTGATAGAGTCTCTCTTTAAGTTCTAAACAGAATTTTAGTTTTTTAATTAGTTTATTACAAAAAAACAATAAATACTATGAATGCTACGAAAAAAAATTGGTACTAGTTTTTTAGTCAAACTTCAAATTAGAACTGTTTTCTTTCAATAAAAGAAACAAATCTGACTGTAGTCATTTAGTCAATGTCAAAATTTATGATACAAAATTACAAATGCAACAAAAAAAAACTGCACTTTTCTAGATGGTTAATGTGGCAAAAACAAAATTATGATTTATAAGTTAATACAAAACTTTCCAACAATGAATTGTGCAATGAAACCTTGCATTTAACTTATATATTGATAAAACAAAAAGTATTTAAATGTCAATAATTTTTTACCAAAAATAAATAAATATTTACTTGCAGTTATGAAAAAACAATTAAAAATATTATTTTTATCAAGACTAAAAGTTATATAAATAGAGAATCCCTCTTTTATATCAGAACAAGGTTTTAGGTTTTCAATAGGTTTAATACAAAAACAACAAATACTGGATATTACAAAAAATCTATTGATTTTATTTCTCATAGTAATACTTGTACCTTCATTTTCCAACCACAACCTTTAGGCTTTAGGTATGTTTTAATTCGTATTTAGTTGTTTCAAAATTAAAACTGAGGATTTAAATAACAATAACTAAATAAGTAGAATTTCTGATATTGTAGTTGACATATTTTAGTGTTTTTTATGTAAAAGCAATAGGTATGTTTTTGTGTTTTTGATTGTATATATAACATGTATTTTTTTGTTAATATTATGATTTTATTATGTAATTATTTTCAATGAAATGTTACATAAAATTAGACACATATATTATCGATTATTACAATTGTATGTAATTTTATGTATGTTTAGGGAAAGACAAAATATCATTTGATAACTGCACGAACTACTTATGTACGCTGCGATATGATTGGCATGCATGTTATGATCACTGCACAGATGCTGGCTTTGAGGACGCAGCATATGTTTCTCCTTCTCCGGGAGATCCTCAGAGATGTTGTTGCCAAAAGAAAATTTCTTTTCTGATAAGCGATTCAAATATATAATAAATGCATGAATATGTAAAAAAATAAACAATTTATAATAATCTATATTTTTTTCCAAGACAATTATTTTTAAATAAATAACTGGTGTCTCTATTAGTGAATAACTCGATATCTAATATATAATGTACTATATAATAATTTTTTAAACAAGTTTTTGACTTTTGGTAAAAACAAAAAGCAAAAAAACTTTTGACTTGATCCATTGTAATACATTAATTTGAGTTCAAAGCATTTCTGACAACTTAATCCATATAATTTATTTTATATCATTATTTTATGCATTATTGAGGTTTTTTCATAGCATCTATCATAAATCAAATTTATGATAATATCAAAATTATGTTTTTAACAAAAAAAATATAATTGATATGAAAAAAACATAATTTGATATGAAATATGATTTGCTATCAACGAGTCTAAAATCTTGCGCGATGTTACAAGTTCGAATGCCGTAAAATGCAATTTATAAATCATTTAACAAAAAAAAAAACATCGACCATTTTGTTTTGTTTTGAACAACTAAATTGATTAGGATTAAAACCAGAGCGGTTACAAACCCGGTGAAGGATTTGTTGGCGATACCATCTACGACCATATTGTTTTATCTCGGAACAAAAGAGAATGAGAGTGAAACAAACAGAGATGCAAGAGTGTTGATATCGAAAAGGAGACCGTAGATGTCCTTGATTTTCTCTTGCGAATTGATGGCTCGTATTAGTGATTATTTGATGCACAGATCGGTGATGTCCATTTATAAGGCGCAGTTTCGGGCTGATCTGATCGCCAACGCTTCGGCTACCAACGCCGATCCCACGAAAGCCTTTGATCCGTGGCCTAATGACTGATTGACTGTGACACCGCATTTAGACAGAGAATCGAATTGCTCAACTCGGAGTCTCGGAGCGACGGCCCTGAGCCGTTGGATCGCCGTCGCGGCGCAAAACGCAGCCGCCTTAACGATGCCGATCCTGAGATGGATTGAGAGGACGGGAGAAGAGGGTTTTGATAAATGATGGGATTCTCTCCTCTTCGTGGCGGTAACAACTGCTTAAAAAGGTTAACTTTTACTGCGTAACTTGGTAGATTCTGGTGATGGGTTCTGTTTGGTTTCACCGTTCCAAGTTGTGGATTCTGAATGTCCGATCTTGATCTTGTCAGTGTTTTAGATTAAAGTGAAGTTTTGTAATGCTTGGTTTGTTTTCACCAGATCTGATGATTCTACTGTCAACTGTGTGGTTAAGGTGGTTCGTTTCTTCACTCAACCTTTGTTTTGTGAAAGATCGCAGCTCCTCTTCCTGTGGAAATTGATGTCTTAATCCCCCACCTCCGGTAGATATACGAATCCTGGAAATGAACATTCTGGAAATAGCTTATTCAGTGTTTTCCTATGACAGGTGAGGTTTCGTTCCGAGCAATAGAGCTTCCAAAGATGGTGACTCGCTTGTGACTATCTGGAAACGGAGTAGGAAACTCTGCTTTGTGCATTGCATACTTGTCAACAGTGTTATACCTCTAAATCTGATGTAGGTACATTTGTTAACCAAAGCTTAATTGGTTCAAAATAAATAAAACTGTGCTCTTGATAACATGATTTGAGCCGCTTTTATACAGAAGATTCTATCTGTGCTCTTGATAAATTATAATCTTGAATACGATCTCCAAATGTGTTCTTGGTTGGTAAAGTTCATTTTCATTCACTGTATCCTTCGGATGGTCTGGTTTTATTCGAAAACATTGAATTTTCTTAAGCACGAACAAGCTTTTCTGATTGTATTTCCAAGATGCAATTGTTCATAATTAGTTATCCAACCTGTTTTCCATCTTCAGATCCAATAAATATGTTGTCCTCAGCTTTATGTTTTGATTATGAAAACATGGATTGCTCTCAACTGTACAGTAATCTAATGGCAATAGGAAAACATGGATTGCTCTTAGCTCCGTCCCAAATTTACATGAAATACCTTTTCGGTTTTGGTTACATCTCACATATGACATATACAGCCCAAATGATTCGGTAACGTTTCATAACATTAACATGGATTATATACATCAAATGTTGTTCATGCAGTTTTATATGTAACTATATAGTCACACAAATACAAACGCTCACAAACCTAAAACAACAAAAAAAGACCGAAACATAAATAGAAAAGCATCGAGTCTAGGTGAACTGCTGCCCCGTGCTCAGGCCCCCCGTATAAAAAGCTGGTATTGCTCAACTTCTCAATGCTGTAGAGGGTCGGGTTCGTGGCTGCTACTTTCAGATCGTAGACTGGTTGAAAACTGCCTATGTCAACGGCAATTTGTAGATCCCGCATGTACGCCGCTTTCACGTTCCCCGATAGATACTCAGATCCCATCTGGGTAGTCGTATGTCGGCCAGAGATGTTATCGTTTACGATCTCCCCGCCCCACTCTACCTTCTCTGCGTGATCGGTGAGGCGAGTGAAAATCTCGGTTGGCCAGTAACCAACTGGAGCGATAAGTGTACCGTTGCTGAAACCCACTCCTAGCCACCAATGTCCAGGCTTTGCCTCCTACACATTTAAAAATGTTTTATTATGTTAAAAATAAAAAATTACAATTATGACAAAATTAAATAAAATATAAATGGGCTGACTAACCTTCCATATCTGAATAGTAAGATCCATTTGGACTCCTCCAAAAATGGACGTCGGAGAAATTGCGCCTTCGATAACGATATTGCGGTTCGTTTGGACAAAACCGGGACAACGGAGGTTGTAGCATTTCGTCCGAGTGTATGCGTCAGTCTGCATGTTCACATAATCAAATCTATTTATTTCGTTATTTTCAAATTTTCTTTAATCGATATTTTATGACACGATATTGTACTCTGATCTTTTACATTCAATATAATTAAATATGATTTTCGAAAAACGAAAAAAAAAAATCTATTTCATCAACTTATTTTACCCATATAAACTATTTAGGCCATATTAACTTACTTTGTCAACTTATTTAGCCCATACAAACTTAAGAGCCCATATTCACTTACGATTCTATTTTGTCAACTTATTTAGCCCATATTAACTTAAAAACCTATTTAGCCCATATTAATTTAAGAATTTATTTTGTCAACTCATTTAGCCCATATTAACTTAAGATTAAGAACCTATTAAATTTATGTTAACTTAGCGACTTATTTTATCAACTTATTTAGCCCATAGCCCATATTAGCTTAAGATTAAGAACCTATTAAATTTATGTTAACTTAGCAACTTATTTTATCAACTTATTTAGCCCATATAAACTATTTGGGCCATATTAACTTACTCTGTCTAACTTATTTTAGCCCATACAAACTTAAGAGCCTATATTCACTTACGAATCTATTTTGTTAACTTATTTAGTCCATATTAACTTAAAAACCTATTTATTAATTTAAGAACTTATTTAGCCTATATTAACTTAAGATTAAGAAACTATTAAATTTATGTTTAACTTAACAACCAATTTTATCAACTTATTTTAGCCCATATAAACTATTTAGGCCATATTAACTTAAGAACCTACTTTGTCAACTTATTTAGCCCATACAAACTTAAGAGCCCATATTAACTTAAGAATCTATTTTGTCAACTTATTTAGTCCATATTAACTTAAAAACCTATTTAGCCCATATTAATTTAAGAACTTATTTAGCCCATTGAATTTATGTTAATTTAACAACCTATTTTGTCAAATTGAAATTAAGAACAAATTTATAAACATACCGTCCATAATATGAAGAGTCTCGGCTGGTAGTCCAAGTATAACTGGGGGTAAACCTAATTAACAAAACAATTAAAATTTATAGTTATTAGTTATATTGAATTAAAATAAAAAATTACATAACAAATATTTATTTTGATCGGAAAACTAACCTGCCAGCCAGCCTCGATGCTGTTGAGATCTTTACTGGTGTAGGAACCCGCAGTGACCCACACTTGCCCCAAACTGAACTCATCAGTTCGTTCTACGGTAGGCTGCCACACGTTCATTACGGCTTTTATGCCGTAAATCTTTGGCGGTGGACTTCCTAAACCCCCGATAGCATACTATATTCACAACAACAAAAATTATATATGTCAAATCTAACTGTACCATTTTCATATGCATACACATTCCGTTTTAGATTGTTCGATTCAGGTATTTGGGTTTGGGGGAAGATTTTTAATTCAACAATATTTTAAGGTTTTTTGTGGTTAGATGGTTGGGCTTTTAAGTTGACTTTGTGAGTTGTTGGGCTCCAAAATACATGTAGCCCATAATATTGGGTTTCTTTAATTAATAAATAGTAATATAGTATGGTTGACAATTAAAAAAGAAGAAGCAAAGGTGCCCATTACAGGAACCAACCTTAGAATATCTTTTTTTATTTCGATGGTGACTTAGCCCAACACACAATTATAACTAAGATTTTTAACTATACAACAGTTAAGTTTTTTTGTGGTTAGATGGTTGGCCTTTCAAGTTGACTTTGTGAATTATTGGGCTCCAAAATACATGTTATTAGGTTTCTTTAATTAATAAATAGTATGGTTGACAATTTAAAAAAAAAGGAAGCAAAGGTTTCTTATTTTTTTGAAATACAGGAACCCAACCTTAGAATATTTTTTTGAAAGACAAAAAAAATAAAAGTTTCTTATTTTACGAACCATTTTTCTATTTGAAGCATGAGCATTAAAGCCTACATGGTCTAATGAAAGGATTCAACAGTTCAAATCACACAATTAAAATCAAAGGATTTAACGGTTCAAATCACACAATTAAAATCAAAGGATTCTACGGTTCAAATCACATAATTAAAAATCTAAAAATTATAGACTAACTTCGTGTCCAAGGGTAGCTTCAACTCCAGCCGGAAACCATGTTGTTCCGTTATGCCTTCGGATCGGGATCGTCCCCTCGGGACACCGAGTTCCATTTCGGTGCCATACCTGCCAGCTAAACGTATCAATCCCGTTGGGGAGATTTGTCGGTATCTCCTGTAATTGTAATTGAAAAACGTTGATTGTTAGATTTTTTTTTTTTTTTTAAAAAAAAAAACACACGTCTAATAAAATACTATTATTTAACTAACCTGGATTTTGTGATTCCGGAGTAGTGGATGGTCAAACGCCGGCTGGTCCCTCATATTGAGACAGTCAATAATATCTCCATCTGGACTCTGTTTTTTTTATAAAAAAAAGAAAACAAAACTTTATCAAAATAGGTTGAATATTAATAAAACAAGTGACATGTCACTTTCGACTTTTAAAAAATAAAATCGGTAACAGAAACTTACGTTGATGGTTAGTATAGCCGTCCTCTTGGCTGAGAGTACCGCGCAACCTAAGAACAGAATGTACAACCTGCAAATTTGTTCGAATTGAGAACGCATCTCTCTCTCTCTCTCTCGACGCTGTTAGAAACGAAAAATGAAAATAAGTATTGTCACAGAAGAAAATGATAAACGACTGATGAGTGAGTGAGGAGGACCTACAGAGAATGCTGATACGAGAAGCAGCTAGTGGGGTATTACTATTAAGAATGATAAACGTATGTTTTTGGGAAACCTGGGAGTGAGACCCTCGATTCTTTTTCGGGTTTAAATGGATCTTTGTCTGTATGTGATCTGTGTATGTGATGAATACACTTTTATTAAATTCTCGGTGCTTTTTCTTCTTTGTCTCTTATCTCTCCGTGCATGTAACTTTAGTTTGATACTAATGTTTATTGGGCAAAATATATTTAAATTTAATATAAATGTATTCATCACATACATATTTAAATTGATACTAATAATTAGAAGTACACTTTTACAAAGAAAAAATATATTTAAATTGATACTAATAATTAGAAGTACACTTTTACAAACAAAAAAATATCTACCACAGATCAATTTGGTAAATGGGAGCTGTGTTAGATCCTAATGATCTTACGAAAGCTGATCAATGTTTGTTTAACGGTTGATTTTGTCCTAATTAGGGAATAAATTAAAATACATGTAATAGATTATTCATCCGTGTGATCTTCTTAAGGCTGATTTTGTTTTGGAAACTAATAAGATAAATTACATAGGTGAAAGTTAAATTGTATCATCCTATTTCTATTCACGAAATGGGGGGTGGGGGGTCTTTTTTTTCCTCTCTAAGTTTTAGATTTTTGAACAAAAATGGCAAATATTGTGATTACAGGCAATGATCTTGCACGGCCTAGTAAATTTTAGATCTTGAATGTTTAGATGGTTGATAATGTTAATAATGCTTTTAAGTTGATTCGTAGTCATGTGAATCTTTGTCTTTATACTATTTTATGATAGGATATTTTTATTAAATATATATTTTTGAATATCTTTATACTATTTTTATGATATATATTTCTATTAAATATAGGTTTTGTCAGATTATTAAGTAAAATTTAAGATTTAGATTTTTTGCATAGTATACATATTTCACCTCTATATATTAAGGTGTTAAGCTCCGTTGGAAGAAATATAAAGAAAAAGATGACCTTGAGAGCTTATTTTAGGGTTTGAAAGTGACACGCGAGATATAATAGATGTTGACGTTGGTGCATCTCTTCATTTCCTCTCTAACCTAAACATAGCAACCTAATTTTGTTTTCATAACCACTAAAAATCTAACTATTCCTTCTCCTAGATTTCTGTGTAACAGGTTCAGAAAATTGCAGCTTTTTATCAGACAGTCTATATTCTAATGTCGTTGGTTAATACTTGATATTAAAGGTAAAAGAAGTAGAAAGTACAAACATTCTCATCGGTTTTTTTTTTTTTTTTGGGTATATGCATGCATGCATGTGCACCTTCAAAGCCAAATACAAAAAGAAACATCAGCCAGATTTCTCATTTGTAACGTACGTTACGTATAGGATGTGGCTATAGTCAAGCAATAACTGGAGATGTGAAGTTGTTAACTTACACAGGCAATAATTTATCTGTGGCACGCAACTGTATACTATTTAAAGTGTTAAAGAGAAGGGGTGAATAAGTGGCGGATCTACGTTAGTGGGTAGTGGGGCAGCTGCCCAAAAAAAAACTATCAGCTAAATTCTCTGAAAGTTAATTTGTTGTCATATTGGTAAATGCCCCCGGTCAAAAATCATGGCTGCCCCCGTTATTGTTGGTTCGATTATTTCTCCAGTCAATTATGTTTCCTTTTTTACACATTTTTCTTTAATTTTTTTTTTCATTAATTGAAATAAATGTTTGATTCCCTCATATCTTTTCGCTCTTGTTATCACTATTATTTATAGTGATTTGTTTAGTACATTATTTTTTTCCACATCTTTTTTATTTAGTAGTAGTTGATTAGTTTTTGTTTGTGGTTTTTTAGAATCTTTACATTTGTTTTGTATTTTTCTGTTTTTGTGTTTAGCATATTTTTATTAGTTTTAAGTACATATATAAAATTGTATATCTTACGAAATGACAACAAAAAGAATATGTATATATGAAAATCAAATGATATTGATACAAGCATTAAAATAAATCATACAAATAATATAAATATATTTATTTGTTTAAAAAACGACAAGTTATTATTATTATTATTATTATTAATATACAATTTGAAAACACAATATAATAATATTTTATTAAAAGTTTTAATATTAAAAATAACATTGCATCCGGTCAAAAATATTTTTGGCTCCGCGACTGAGTGAATTGTATCATTGCAAATTAAAGAGAGATAATAAGGGTAGATGTTGACTGGTGAACCTCCTCATTTATTTGCCCTAGCTAGTTTCCATTTGCTTTAATTCCTTGATGACCTGTCAATTGTCTTTGTGATACATGTAGGAATGATCCGTATACATGACCTAATTAAGGTCAACCATGTTCTGTACATATATATTTTGCAAATGCATCACAGTTCGACATTTTTATCAGTCTAACCAATCAGTGGGGATATACAGTTTATTATTATTTATTTTTGTTGAAAGATTGATTTGTATTAAAATTGCAGAGGACATAACAAGTCACTAATACCTCTCTAAGGTCTAGTTTCTAACTTTCTATTACATGCCAAATACAAAAAGCTCTTGGATTATAACCAAACCAAGTAACAAAGCATATCATGAAAGTTCGACTCACTCACGGATACTGGTGATCAATCTTCGTGCTTAAGAAATAAGAACAAGTACGCATAAGGGGACTTTGGTAAGTATATACGGGGTAGAAATACGATCTTGATTATCAATATATCTGATATATTAAATTAATAATATACGCAAAAAAAGAGTTTGAGAATGTTAATGGAAACAGTTTCTAAATATCTAGTTTAGGCCATGTTTTAAGCTCAAACAATATATAAATGTTAATGGAAACAGTTTCTAAATATCTAGTTTAGTGCAGTGGCTGACAAGTCTATTCCTTCGGTTACAGGCAACGGGTTCGAGTTCTCCGAAGGCCTATTGGGCCGGATTAAACTTCATTTGTTATTAATGGGCTAAAAGTTTTTTTTTTTTTGTTTGCTCTAGGCAACAAAACCTATTGGGCCGGCTCAAACTTCTTGTTTGAGATTTTAAGATTATTGTAATCACAGGGCTTATTTCTCAAATACACAAAAAGGAGGAGAGATTAACAGTTGCGAACCAAAATTTATGAAGCCCAAAAAACAAACTTATCTTCCGACGTCGTCGTTTCGTTTAACGCTTTGCCTTTGACTCTTTGTTACTGTGTCAGTCAGGCTGAGGCACATACGTCACTGAAGTTGCGAGAGTGCAAAATTGTAAATTTTCGTATCCGACCGTGATATCCTCCTCTCTTGCTCGGTAGTAACGATAACAAATCTAAATAAAATTAGTATTAAGGATTGCATTGGAGATTACGAAACGAGTGGTGGTGGTGCTCTGTTCCTTCTGCATTATCTCTACCGATTTACGTTTCGATTCTTGTCTGAATTTCGCAATTGACTTCTCTCTTCTCTTCGAATTTGGTTCCTTTTCATCATTTGGCTGCCCCAATTTGCACTTTCGCCTTGCGTCTCTCTGTTTTCCATGAGACTTTACTCGTTGTCCCTGAGCTCGAAATGACTCCATTTTCCTCTGAACTCGTTGGTTTCACCATCCCTTTCTACTCCAAAACCCAGAAACACAATTCAAACCCGCACGGGATAGTATTTCACAGCCGAAGCTTCTCAAACTCTAACCTAAAGCACGACAATGTCAAAGCCTTTTCATCGTCAGGAGCAACGAACCCTCAAGCCGCCACGGCAGACGCAAGACAGACCCATTCACAGTCTATCGGATTCAGAGATACCCAGATGCTCAAAATCTTCCACCGGTCATGCCGTTCAGGGGACTACATCGAAGCTCTGCATCTACTCGAGAGCATGGTGCGTAAAGGGTACAACCCCGACGTCATCCTCTGCACGAAGCTCATCAAAGGGTTTTTCAACCTAAGAAACATCCCAAAAGCCGTTAGGGTTATGGAGATTCTCGAGAAATTCGGGCAGCCTGATGTCTTCGCTTACAACGCCCTGATCAATGGGTTCTGTAAGATGAATCGAATCGACGACTCTACAAAAGTTCTCGACAGGATGAGGAGCAAAGGTTTCTCTCCAGACACCGTGACTTACAACATAATGATTGGTAGTTTGTGTAGCAGAGGGAAACTCGATCTCGCTCTGAAGGTCTTAGACCAGTTGCTAACCGATAACTGCCAACCGACGGTGATTACTTACACGATTCTGATCGAAGCAACGATGCTCGACGGCGGAGTTGATGAAGCATTGAAGCTTTTGGATGAGATGTTGTCTAGAGGGTTAAGACCGGACATGTTTACTTACAACACGATCATAAGAGGGATGTGTAAAGAAGGGATGGTGGAACGAGCCTTTGAGATGGTGAGGAACCTGGAGCTGAAAGGTTGTGTCCCCGATGTGATCTCTTACAACATCTTGCTTCGAGCTCTTTTGAATCAAGGGAAATGGGAAGAAGGAGAGAAGCTCATGACTAAGATGTTCTCGGAGAAGTGTGAGCCGAACGTCGTGACGTACAGCATTCTCATCACTACTCTGTGCCGCGACGGAAAGATCGACGAAGCTTTGAACCTGCTTAAGCTTATGAAGGCGAAAGGGTTGACCCCCGATGCGTATAGCTACGACCCTTTGATCGCTGCGTTTTGCAGAGAAGGCAGGTTAGATCTAGCCATCGAGTTCTTGGAGACTATGATCTCGGAGGGATGTTTACCGGATATTGTCAACTACAACACGGTTTTAGCTACGCTGTGCAAGAACGGGAAAGCTGACCAGGCGCTGGAGATCTTCGGGAAGCTAGGAGAAGTTGGTTGCTCGCCGAACTCGAGCTCTTACAACACAATGTTCAGTGCGTTGTGGAGCAGCGGAGACAAGATCAGGGGGTTACAGATGATATCAGAGATGGTGAGCAACGGGGTTGATCCCGATGAGATCACTTATAACTCGATGATCTCGTGTCTATGCAGAGAAGGGATGGTGGAGGAAGCTTTTGAGTTGTTGGTTGATATGAGAAGCTGTGAGTTTCATCCATCGGTTGTCACCTACAACATTGTTCTTTTGGGGTTCTGTAAAGCTCATAGGATCGAGGAGGCCATCGATGTTTTGGAATCAATGGTGGAAAATGGATGTAGGCCTAATGAAACCACTTATACGGTGCTTATTGAAGGGATTGGATTTGCTGGTTACAGAGCTGAAGCTATGGAGTTAGCCAATGATCTGGTTCGAATCGATGCTATTTCTGAGTATTCGTTCAAGAGGTTGCATAGAACTTTCCCTTTGCTCAATGTTTTACAGAGATCTTCTTCTCAGACATTTGGTCATTAAGTTACAGCAGTGACAGTGGATAAACAACAACACTTCTACTTTATTCCTTTGAGTAAATAACTTTTAACACATCTACTCTATATTGGACCAAAAAAAAAAAAAAAAAACACATCTACTCTATTAAAATAAAATAGGATTCCTACAAGTAAATTACTTTTTCCATGTGTTATTATATTACACTTAAATAAGCAATAGTCAAAAAGACTGAATATCAGAAATCGCAAAAAGAAGTGTTCACCACGAAACATCTAATCTGGACTTAACAGAGCAGACAAACAAATATTCCGATTGAAAAAGACAAGAGCTTTCGCTCTGTTTCTGCTCTATGTTGTTGCGTCGAGGAATTCGGTTGTTGGCCACAGAATCTGGGAGCAAGACAACATGGGACCCTCTTCATTCGCTTGAGCTGAATCACCCATCTCTTGTTCTGCTCGAGAAATGCAACTCCAGGAACCAACTCAAGCAGATTTTGGCAACGATCATGCGTGTCAATCTCATAGGCGATACATTTCCCATGAGCCGTCTTATCTTGTTCTCAGCGGTCACGTATCCAGAGAACCTCGACACTGCGAAGCTTCTGTTTCTTCATTTCACTCCAAACCCCAACGTTTTCGTCTACAACACAATGATCTCTGCTGTTTCAAGCTCCAAGAAGGAATGCTTTGCTCTGTTTCACTCTATGATCAGGCACAGCGTTTCTCCGGACAGGCAAACGTTTCTCTCCCTCATGAAAGCATCGAGTTTACTGTCTGAAGTGAAGCAGATCCATTGCCATATCATTGTTTCTGGGTGTCTCTCTTTTGGCAATTACCTGTGGAATTCTCTGGCTAAGTTGTACATGGAGCTGGGAAGTTTGGTTTTTGCGGAGAAGGTGTTCGATATAATGCCTGAACCAGATGTCAGCTCTTTCAACACCATGATTGCAGGTTATGCCAAGAAGGGGTTTGGTTTAGAGGCACTGAAACTGTATTATAAAATGGTTGGTGCCGGTATTGAACCTGATGAGTACGCAGTGTTGGCACTTCTTGTTTGTTGTGGTCAGTTATCAGATATCAGGCTTGGGAAAGCAGTTCATGGTTGGATTGAGAGGAGGATGCCAGGTTCTTCGTCAAATTTGATTCTGAGAAATGCTCTTTTAGACATGTATTTCAATTGCAAAGAATCCGGTCTTGCGAAAAGAGCCTTTGATACGATGAAGAAGAAGGACATGCTTTCTTGGAACACCATGGTTGGTGGGTTTGTTAAGCTTAGGGACATGGAAGCTGCTCAGGCTGTTTTTGATCAGATGCCTGAGAGGGATCTTGTTTCTTGGAACTCTCTGCTTTTGGGCTACTCGAAGAAGGGATGTGACCAAAGAGCCGTGAGAGAGTTGCTCTATGAGATGTTGATAGTGGAGAAGGTAATGCCAGACCGCGTCACTGTGGTAAGTTTGATAAGTGGTGCAGCAAACAACGGCGAACTAGAGCAAGGGAGGTGGGTACACGGATTACTGATCCGCCTGCGATTGAAAATCGACGCCTTTCTTGGTTCGGCTCTGGTAGATATGTACTGCAAATGTGGTGCCATCGAGCGGGCTTTACTGGTTTTCAAGACAGTTCCTGAAAAAGACGTCACGCTATGGACAGCAATGATAACTGGGTCTGCCTTCCATGGAAATGGTAAGCAAGCTCTGAAACTATTCGAAGAAATGCAGGAAGAAGGGGTGATGCCAAACAAAGTCACTCTGCTCGCTGTCCTAACAGCTTGCAGTCATAGCGGACTCGTGGAGGAAGGGCTACACGTTTTCAACCACATGAAGGAGAAATTCGGCTTTGACCCTGAAACAGAACATTACGGAAGCCTTGTCGATCTGTTGTGTAGAGCAGGGAGAGTAGAAGAAGCAAAAGACTTGGTGCAAGAGAAGATGCCAATGAGACCAAGTCAGTCAATGTGGGGATCAATCTTAAGCGCCTGTCGGGGAGGAGAGGACATTGAAACTGCAGAGATGGCTGTGAAGGAACTGCTTAAGTTGGAACCTGAAAAGGAAGGCGGATATGTTTTGTTGTCCAACATCTACGCAACCGCTGGAAGGTTTGGATATTCCGACAAGACGAGAGAAGCAATGGAGAGTCGTAGAGTAAAGAAGGTCGCAGGATACAGTAGTATAGTAGGAGTAGAGGGAAAACATAGCTTTGTGGCTGCAGAGAGGCAGAAACATCCGAGATGGACTGAGATCAGAGGAATATTGCACCATCTGTGTGATGAAATGAATTCAAAATCTGATCTTTTGGACTTGTTAGGAACAGAGTGCAATTAGCCATTTTAACCTGAATGATACTTTTTTGAATTTTTCGGATATTCATCGAGTCCCACAGATTTTAGTTTTCTTGATTCATTCGATCATGTAATTAAAATGCAAGAATTTTTCTGAAGCAAAGTATTAGTTATGATAAGTATGCCTAACTTTAACCAAATCGCTGAACCAAGAATATTTGGTCATTATTTCAGAACATGTCAACGTTATGCCTCTTCTTGTCTCTCTATACTCTATTGTCATTAATTCGGTAATAATTCGAGGCAAAAGCTCTAATCTTGTACTGGGGAAACACAAAAAAGCTACAACGCGTTTCTAAGTAGCAAATAGAAAAAGAAACAGCCAAAATCAGCATAATATGTATGTACACAGTAAGATATAACAATTTTCAAAACTGACTAAGAGTTTTACCTCTCTATATGGTAAATTCCTTCTGAAGAGTGTTGTTATTACCTTCTCTCAGACCTTGGAGACATAGATGCAATGTTCTCTGGACACTATCTGCAACCAATTTGAGTTTGCCTTGAGTCAAATCTCCTGCAGCAGAACCGTTGACTTCAACTGTACGACTCACTCTCTGTTTACATTTCTCCCAATCGTCAACACGTTGCCAACAAGCTCGACCTCCATGGCTTCCTTCCATTCCAAGAAACGTCACGCTGGGGTTTTCCCCAAACGTGTACCTTAACCTAACCGATACACAGTAAGGCAACCACGCCGCTCCTCCAGCTGCGTTTATGTGAGGTATGTGCGCAGGATCAAGAACGACGGTCAACGCAAAGTCGACGGTATTGTTAGGCCGGTCGTAATGGATGTTGCTTTTAGCTGCACAATTGTTGTCTACATCTGTACCGGAATGATTCTCCAGACATAGCTCAATACGAGGTCTCTGTGCAGGAGCAATCTCTCCAGCTTGTTGTGACTGCGATAATCCTTTTTTCCAAGCTATCAGTTTCAGAAACTCCCTTAAGACCGATATGGGTAATGTGAGGAGTGTTATGAATGAGGCAACTCTTGAAGCATCGTAAGGCTCTGATGCAACACGCCGGCTAAAATAGTCGCAGATTTCTCCAATCTCAGATTGGGTTAAATCCTCTTGAGCAGCACCGGAAGAACCATTTTGCTGCTGCTGCTGCTGGTGATGGAATCGCCTTACGCTAAGGACTTGAAGAAGAAGCTGAACTCTATGGACACTCACAGCAAATACATAGCCGCTACACACCCAAAAAAAAAAGACAACGAATGTTAGCATAAACAAATTAATCTATGAACACACAATATGATTTGCCTATGTTCTTGGTTTGGCTTACCCGACAAAGAAGCGCAAGGCTGGTTGTTCTTGGTCTAAATTCAAGAGAGCCCCTTCATTCTCCTTCAAGATTGAACCCAAAATCTCTCTCAAGAGATCTGGTAACTGAGCAAACAGCCACAGTACTCCAAGATATTTAAGGATACCGCGCAGAACCTTTTTAAGGGCCACAAGAGGAACCCAACCTCCGCCATAGCCACCATCATCACCTAAACCGATAATCGCTGTGTTTAGTTCGCCTCTTACATGTGCTGGCACAGCAGAGCCTGGTGGTCTACGTACAGACAATCCTGAGCCAACCACTAAAGATCCTGATGCAACACTGCCTACACGATTCATGGCGGCTCTTGACATTGCACTAGAGGGAGAAAAATTGACTCTGTTCCCACCGCTACCAGTTGGGTTTGGATTTATTGCCCCTTGGCTACCTGTCAAATTCGGTTCTAGACCGTTCAATTCTTGAGCAACATGCTCCATGATGAAAGGTCTGAACTGGGGACATGGCAAGGAGCCACCAATAGAAGCACCACCCTTGGGTGGAGTTGCCGGTTGCAACCAAACTTGATCTCCAGCAAAGCATCTCATGTCTACTGCAAAACGTTTACGGTATATGATCCTTATCCAATAGGGTCCACGAAGTACTACAGAGACATCAATGGGCAAGAGAGAGCTGGGAACGATTCCAGGTCCACTTCTCCCTGCAGCTGCTAGCATTGCAACTCCATGGAAACTTCCACCGAGTGGGCTTGGAGCAGGAGAAGCAACAGAATTTCCTGAAGTTCCCGAGGCCGACTGGCCAACTGCATTAGGAGCTGCTAAAGTTGAAGGGGCAATGATTCCCTGAGTTTGTTGTATAAGATTTGATTGTCTTGAACTCGCTGTAGCAGGAACAACAGGCATGCCAGTGGCAGTACTAGCTCGGGCAGGGCGAGTAGCGGCGGCTAATGCAGTCAAAGGCCCAGCAGTGAGGCGAATGCAATCCAAAAGAGATTCTACCTCTGCTCCATTTATGAAATCCTCCAAGAACTGTACAAGAGTAACCCACAATGAGGAAATGCACTATATTCACAACTCTTAAGAATAAAAACAATTCTCATGAAGAGATCGATAGCTAAGTCGAGTGCAAACAACAAACCTTGGTATGTGGCCAGTGTTGGTCAGGAGAGACATGCATGGTGCATCCCTCTTTACCTGATTCCCACTCTACAACAAAACGCGCCAAAATCCCTGAACCAAAGCTAAACCACAGGCTTGTTAATCCTACTGCCTCAATCTTGAACGCCCTCCATCTATCAACTGGCTCACCACTGCCTTTCCCTCCAGCAGGTCCTTTGATAGCGGCATTAGCACTACACTCTTCTGGTTTTCCATCTGGCTTTATGCCAAGTAGTTTCCTCATACCAAGGGAGAACATTCTAGCATTTGAAAGCCTCTGTATGTCGGCCACAAGCTTCTTTATACTATCGGCTTCCACGGACTGATAGCTCAGAACAACACCTTCAGGGTCATAACGGATATGGGAATCAACATCAGATGAATTCGCAATGTGAACTCCAGATCCCCATGGTGTGGTTTTACTTCCCTTCTGAAGTTCCCAGAGATCCCTAAAGTGTTGGTCATTTATTTTCACATCCCAGCACATGCTTCCAGGTCTACCAAGCTGCAAGCATATATGTTGCCAGGAATCATTTTGAGCAAACGGAAGCCGGAACCATATATCTGAAAATGCATCTTTTAGTCCCATTTCCTCAACATATTGAATATCCAGTGCCTCCATCTGACTAGTTAGTTTGGCATGCTTTATGGACAACGAAGAATGCCTGACCACATGAAGAAGAGCATATACAAAAACGCTTGACGGTGCATTCCCCTTGTTTGCTTCAGCTATGAGATTCCCATAGCTGCATCCAATAGTTTTTGTTGATGTTGCCACGGCAGTGGATAAGGTCTGCGATGCAGGGCTCAAACTCTTCACTAATTGACTCTTCACCATTTCAGAGGTTTTACTTCTCTTATTAGGGTTAGCTACACCTTCCACACCCTGGAGAGATGGGATCAATCTTAGCAAATCTGAAGCTGAACGTTTCCGGGACTTCTGGTCGTTTCTCAGCAAAGGACCATCAGAAGTAGTTCCAACATCTGTTTGTGCTGCAAATGAAAAAAAATTAGGAATTCCAATGACGAGAAAAGTTCTATGAAAAAAGGCTATGGCAATGTTCTTACATACGGGAAGAGGTGACAACGAGGACTCAGTGACCATTCTACTGCCTGGCTCAGAGACTCCGTTCCCAGCAGTTAGGGTTGGAGACACTACCATGGATAACTCCTGGTTCGAGTTAGAGACAGCTACCTTCTTCATAGCTGAACCCTTCCCAGGGGGAGATGATAACAGATAAGAAGTGCTAGATTGTAAAGGGCTCTGCAGATTATACAAGGAATCTGACTGATAGCTAGTCAACAATGGAACTTTTCCGAGGCCATTAACAGCAGGGAGATTCTGGGTAACTGAACCATGCCCATCACTTGAAACAACAGCAGAAGTCCCTTTCTGAAGTCCAAATACTTCATCTACGATGCTAGAGAAACTCAATTGGCTTCCACTCATTTCTGCCAAAGCCTCGTCAATTAATCC